AGTAGCTGGGACTACAGGCACCCGCCACCATGCCCGGCTAATTTCGTTTTTGTATTTTTAGTAGAGACGGGGTCTCACCGTGTTAGCCAGGATGGCCTCCATCTGCTGACTTCGAGATCCGTCCCCCTCGGCCTTCCAAAGTGCTGGGATTACAGGCGTGAGCTATCGCGCTCGGCCTCTTTTTTTTTTTTTTTTAACTTAATAGTTTAAGCAGGCTGGGCATGGTGGCTTGCACCTGTAATCACAGCACTTTGGGAGGACAAGGAAGGAGGATCACTTGAGGCCAGGTGTTCGAGATCTGCCTGGGCAACATGGCAAAACCGCGTCGCTATTAGAAATACAAAAATTAGCCGCGCGTGGTGCCACGCGCCTGTAGTCCCAGCTACCCAGGAGGCTGAGATGGGAGGATGGCTTGAGCCCAGGAGGCTGCAGTGAGCCAAAATCACGCTACTGCATTCCATGGACAGCAAAATACCCTATCCCTCACCCCCCTCAAAAAAAAAATACAAAAAAAAAAAGTTTATGCAAATTAATAAGCAATTTTGCAGAGGATATAGCAAAAAAAAATTTTTTTAAGAACAAGAGTCCATTTAACTTCAACTTAGCAGTTGTTAGCGGTCCATCCATATGGACCTAGAAAAAATAAAGCATTTTGCCTCAAAGTAGCCCAAAATTCCTGGGCTTCTGTTCTTCCCATTTGCCCGCTTGACAAAATGTAACCATTTCGCCGGGCGCTGTGGCTCACGCCTGTAATCCCAGCACTTTGGATGAGGCGGGTGGATCAATTGAGGCCAGGAGTTCAAGACCAGCCTGGCCAAAATGGTGAAACCCCGTCTCTACTAAAAATACAAAAACAGCCGGGCATGGTGGTGCGTGCCTGTAATCCCAGCTACTGAGGAAACTGAGGTAGGAGAATCGCTTGAACCCGGGAGGCGGAGGTTGCAGTGAGCTGAGATTGCAGCACTGCACTCCAGCCTGGCGACAAGCCAGACTCCATCTCAAAAAAAAAAAAAAAATGTAACCATTTCAAATGCAAAACTCGGAATCACACTGGGGGCCCTGATCAAATGTCACTGGTCCTAAATAATTAAAAGTTGTATTTCCAACGTTTACATTGAGTGTTTATGATCATGAAAACTACTACTCAGATTTGTTCATTAAAGAAAGAACTGAAAAATGAACCGGTGGATGTGAGTTAACAAGTGAACCTTCATAATTTTCAGTAAATTTACTTTCATCGTTTTCCTTCCTTAATACCACTGTATGAAACTGTGGCATCTCGGATATAGTCACTGGCCAGGCAGAATGGCTCATGCCTGTAATTCCAACACTTTGAGAGGCTGAGGCGGGCAGATCACTTGAGCCCAGAAGTTTGAGACTAGGCTGGGCAACATGGTGAAACCCCGTCGCTACAAAAAAATATAAAAATTACTCGCGCATGGTGGCACATGCCTGTAGTCCCAGCTACTGAGGAAACTGAGGCAGGAGAATCTCTTGAACCTGGGAGGCAGAGGTTGCAAGATCGGGCCACTGCACTCCAGCCTGGGAGACAAGAGCGAAACTTCATTTCAAAAAAATAAAATAAATTTGATCATTCAGATCTAGTCAAAAAAGCAAACAGCAGATGCTAGGGCCCAGGGAAATGATGATGTCCACTGATAGGGGCTGTGAATTGTCTGCCCACACATGTAGCTCGCCAATTAATAGGATTTAAGTCCCTTAGCAAAGATTTACTGGCCACATCCTCTGTGGTGGACACCATGCTTAGCTTGGGCTGTTTAGCTGGTCTTTGGTTACTTCTTTCCCCCTTTCACTTTCCCTCAACACTACTGGTGTTTTTTGTTTTTTCTGATTTTGGGGGTTTTTTTTGAGAAATTATCTTGCTCTGTCACCCAGGCTGCAGTGCAGTGACACCATCACGGCTCACTGAAGCAGTCCGCCCACCACAGCCTCCCAAAGTGCTAGGATTCCAGGCATGAGCCCCCGCACCTGGCAGCACCAGTGTTTCGAGGCTGATCCTCTCTATACTTGAACCTCCTCTCCAGGGAATGGCTCTGCTCCACATTTCCCTCCAGGGGAACCCCATGTAGCTGGGCCATGGTGCAGAGGCAGGGCAGGGTGCCATCCCACGTAAAGGTTTTGGAGTAAATTTAAAGCCTGGTCCAGCCACTGGAAGCTGCATGAACGAAAGCAAGTTATTGAGAGCCTCAGGTTTTTTCTTTTGCTTTAAGACAGGGTCTCAATCCTGATTGCCTAGGCTGGAGTGCAGTGGCATGATTACAGCTCACTGCAGCCTCAACCTCCTGGGTGATTCTCCCACCTCAGCTCCCCAAGTAGCTGGGACTACAGGGACGCACCACCACGCCCAGCTAATTTTTTGTATTTTTAGTAAAGACGGGGTTTCGCCATGTTAACCAGCCTACTCTTGAACTCCTGAGACTCAAGCAATCCACCTGCCTCAGCTTCCCAAAGTACTGGGATTATAGGCGTGAGCTACTGTGCCAAGCCAGTTTATTCTTTAAAATGAGGATATTAAACAAAATAGCATATGTAAAGCATCTAAAACAGTACTTGGCACTCACACAGTAATAAAGATTATTATAAGAGGTGGACTCATCAAAGTTTTCCTTGCATTTGTATTTATAAGTACACACGTGAAGATTCAAATCCCAGCTTCATCAACTTACAATCTGTGTAACCTGGGCAAGTTATCTAACTCTCTATGCCTCAATTTGCTCATTTGTAAAATAGAAATAATGGGCCATTCTGAGATATGGTCCCCTCCTGCCAGCGACCACCCCAACCACAGCTGTTGGCAACATGACACATAAAAGTTGTAAACTCCCATTCATTATAACACTCTAAGAAGGAGACTCATCTGAGGTTTTATTTCTATAGAATTTAGGGTGCCTCATGAAATAAACGTGCAACTACTCTAAAACCCTGGAAACAATTAGTATAAAAGTAATTTATGATGCGGTAATTAGCTGTCATATCTGAATTTAAGGGATCTTTTAGAAACAGCTTTTCAAAAAGTTTGTTTAGGCCAGGCGCAGTGGCTCACACCTTTAATCCCAACACTTTTGGGAGACTGAGGCAGGTGGATCACCTGAGGTCAGGAGTTTGAGACCAGCCTGGACAACATGGCAAAACCCTGTCTCTTCTAAAAATAGAAAAATTAGCTGGGTGTGATGGCGCATGCTTGGAGTCCCAGCTACTCAGGAGGCTGAGGCTGGAGAATTGCTAGAACCCGGGAGGGAGAGGTTGCAGTGAGCCGAGATTGCACCATTGCACTCCAGCCTGGGTGACAGAGCAAGACGTCATCTTAAAAAATAAAAAAAAAAATTTTTTAAATTAAAAAAAAAAAGTTTGTTTAAATTACATGTTGTCTCTCTACTAAATGTGTCTTGAACTAGACTAGAATCAACTTGTGGGCAAGAAGAGTGTTCTATACTTTAATACTTCTTTTTTTTGATACGGAGTTTCGCTCTTGTTGCACAGGCTGGAGTGCAGTGGCATGATCTCGGCTCACTGCAACCTCTGCCTCCGGGGTTCAAGTGATTCTCCTGCCTCAGCTTCCCAAGTAGCTGGGATTACAGGCACCTGCCACCACACCCAGCTAATATTTTGTATTTTTAGTAGGGACGGGGTTTCACCAAGTTGGCCAGGCTGGTCTCAAAACTCCTGACCTCAAGTGATCCTCCCACCTTAGCCTCCCAAAGTGCTGGGATTACAGGTGTCAGCCACTGCGCCAAGCCTGCTGCGAACATTTTAAGGTTCAATTAATGCATGCTGGTTAGATAACTATGATTAAAATGTATACATTAGCATAGAACTGATAATAATTGAGCTTTAGTTACAGCATTTCCTTTCTCCTAACATCTCCCTTACCCAGAAACAACTTAAAACACTTCAAATTTTTTGAGTGAAAGTAGAGATCACAAACATCAAGGTATTTGATTCTTTTATTTTCCATCACTTGCTACTTGAGGGGGTCACACTAACCAATTCTCGTTACATACTTTCCTGCTATGGACTCTGGAAGAAAAATTGCAAAGAAACAGAAAACTAACCTTCTTAAACATATATAAGAAATCAAGGGTTTCCTAAAACTATTATCTGAGAGTCCTATTTTTGCCTTCTGTATAGTAAGCACGTCATTCTACTCACTGTTCTACCAGAATACATCTTCACATTTCAAACTGGATTACTTTTCAAATACTGGATTAAGTTCATGCAGTAAAAACAAGAATACTCCACTCTATTGAATATTTTTGCATTTGCTTATTGCAATACTAGTTAAAACACCAGTTTATAATTTTTTTATACATTCAGTTGTTCAACAAATGATTCTTTTAATCTGACTGAAGTTTCAAGTCAACACATCACTGGAGAAAATGTATGAAACTGTAGCACTAATTTCTGAAACGAAGGATTGAAGTTCCTCTTTCCAACTTCTTTCAGTCCATCACTACTCCACATGTTCCTGCTCTTGTCCTGGAATTAGCCACCGAATACTCTCAGTTCGAATGGTAGCATACATAATAAAACTAATTAAAAAGAATAAGGAAAATACAAGCAACCAGTCCACACTTTTTATCAAAGTGCTGGGAAGAGGGCCTATTTGGTCAGCTTGAGTAACCACCACATTCTTCTTGGCTTCTATACCTGAAAGAAAAATCACTGGTTTCAAATCAGACAGAGAAAGCACCCACCACAGACTTTTTCTCAAGTATTATGTGTGGTATGCAAAATGACATGCAGTCCTAAAATAAGCACTGCCACTAGTATATATATTAATATCTGCGATGGATTTCACTTGCCTGTCAGTATAATTTGTAAGTTGCCTTTCTCCCCACCGCATCAAAGGATCAGGAATCCATTCAGCTATTCACAACTAAAACACTAGAATTTCTGTGAACTCATCAGCAGTTTATTACTCAATGTGTTTATAAGAGTTGTCTTTTGGTGTCTTTTGAGACCAAAGTTCAGTAAGTAACTAGTAAAACTCCTCTCAGGCGTCTACAGAATGTTTTCACAGGTTAAGTAATGCTAAATACAAAATGTTTTTTGTTTTGTTTTTTTGAGACAGAGTCTTGCTCTGTCACCCTGGCTGGAGTGCAGTGGCACGATCCTTGGCTCACTGCAAGCTCCGCCTCCTGGGTTCAAGCGATTCTCCTGCCTCAGCCTCCCAAGTAGCTAGGATTTGGCTAATTTTTTTGTATTTTTAGTAGAGATGGGGTTTCACCACGTTGGCCAGGTTGGTCTTGAACTTCAGACCTCAGTTGATCCGCCCACCTCAGTCTCCCAAAGTGTTGGGATTACAGGCGTGAGCCACCGCACCCGGCCCCAAAATGCTTTTAATAATTTACTGAAAGAACTGTTATAACAGCAAGCCACCACTGGGAACAGGGATTACCAAAGATGCTCTGACTCCCAGATTTGTGTTCTAGGTTTTCTTAGAGCATTGAACAAAATGGCTTCCTCTCCACACATCAATCGAAATGACAATCAGGGATCCATGACAAGACTTGGACTAGCTAACCACCTTGTAATATCCTACTTTTACTCCTATCAGCCAACTCAGCTCTTTTTTCTTTAGTGTTAGCTAAAATGATTATATGCACCTTAATATATATGCAATGTGTGTTATAGTTTGTATTTATTTCCAGGGAGTACACTTTGGGAAGAGTAGGATGCTCACAAGTGAGACAGTGAGGCTTTAGAGGAATGAACTTTTCCAATGGAGGTAATTTTTTCAATTTACAGTGCTTTACAATGTTTTACAAATAAAAAATAAGGCCATATGTTTTGGCAAATATTAAGGAATTAAGATAGCATCTACAAATGGATTAATAAATGGAACAGTAGCAGCAAAGAAAATGAACAAAACATAACCATACATGATAATGCAGGTGCATCTCACAAGCATACCATTGCATGAAAAAATCAGACACAAAAGAAAAATATCCTGTATGTCTCCATTAATACGAAGTCCAAAACAAGTTAACACTGTCTATGATATTAGGAGTCAAGACTGTGGTTATCTTGGGGAAGGCAGAAGCAGTGGTGCTGAAGGGAGGCTGGTAATGTCCTGTTTCTTTTTTTTTTTTTTGAGACAGAGTCTCACTCTGTCAAGCAGGCTGGAATGCAGTACTGCGATCTCAACTCACTGCAGCCTCTGCCTCCTGGACTCAAGCAATTTTCATGCCTCAAGACTCCCGAGTAGCTGGGACTACAAGCACCCACCACCATGCCCAGCTAGTTTTTGTATTTTTAGAAGAGACACGGTTTCGCCATGTTGGCCAGGCTGATCTCGAACTCCTGGCCTCAAGTGATCCGCCCACACAGGCTTCCCAAAGTCTTGGGTTTACAGGCATAAACCAATGTTCTGTTTCTTGATCAGAGTGGTTACCCAGGGTATTCACTTTGTGAAAATTCATCACCCTGTACACTCATGATTTATGCATACCTTTGTGTAAATATTAAGTGAAAAATGTGCGTTAAAAGTTATAAGTAAAGTGTATGGTATGTGAATTATATTTCAATAAAACTTGTTTTAAAGTGTCTATAATAGGCCAGGCATGGTGGCTCACACCTGTAATCCCAGCATTCTGGGAGGCCGAGGCAGGCAGATCACTTGAGGTTAGGAGTGCAGGCCCGGCCTGGCCAAGGTGGTGAAACCCTGTCTCTACTAAAAATATAAAAATTAGCCAGGTGTGGTGGTGCCCACCTATAATCCCAGCTACTAGGAAGGCTAAGGCAGGAGAATCGTTTTAACCCAGGGGGCAGAGGTTGCAGTGAGCTGAGATTGTGCCACTGCACTCCAGTCTGGGTGACGGAGCGAGATTCCATCTCAATCAATCAATAAAGTATCTATAAGAGACCGGGCACAGTGGCTCACACCTGTAGTCTCAGCACTTTGGGAGGCAGAGGCGGGTGGATCACTTGAGACCAGGAGATTGAGACCAGCCTGGCCAACAAGGCGAAACCCTGTCTTTACTAAAAATACATAAATTAGCTGGGCATGGTGGTACACAACTGTAATCCCAACTACTCAGGAGGCCGAGGCACACAAATCACTTGAACCTAGGAGGGGGAGGCTGCAGTGAGCCGAGATCACACCACTGCACTCCAGCCTGGGCAACAAAGACTCTGCCTCAAAAAAAAAGAAAAAAGGCGGGGCGCGGTGGCTCACGCCTGTAATCCCAGCACCTTGGGAGGCCAAGGCGGGTGGATCACGAGGTCAGGAGATTGAGACCATCCTGGCTAACATGGTGAAACACCATCTCTACTAAAAAGACAAAAAATTATCTGGGCGAGGTGGTGGGCGCCTGTAGTCCCAGCTACTCGGGAGGCTGAGGCAGGAGAATGGCATGAACCCAGGAGGTGGAGCTTGCAGTGAGCTGAGATCGTGCCACTGCACTCCAGCCTGGGCGACAGAGGGAGACTCCGTCTCAAAAAAGAAAAAAAAAGTTGGGGGGGAAGTGTCTATAATAATTAAAATTACCTATTCATGTTAAGCTTCATACTGATTGGGAAGTATTTAACAGGATTATAACAGTTCATTAGAAGAGCGGTTTTACAACTCAAAGTCAGTCTTGAATCCTTCACTTAAGGATTATAGCAGATCAGAACCCACAGAAGGCACAGACCCCCAGCAATAGAATATCTTCTTCCTTAGCACATTACTTCCACATACCTGTCTGATTAAAAATGAAGATTTTCAGTGTTTCCAGTGTTCGATCTGTATGATTAAATCTAGCCATTGGTTTAGCTCCTTGAAATAATAAAATATTAGGAACAGCTACGGTGCCAAACCTGGTAGAAAGGCTACAAGAGAAAGAAGTAAAAAAACCTGAATTTATTATTAATAGAGGGCTTTCTCATACGATTACCATCTCAGAATGGACAAAAATAAATGAGGAAGTTGCATGTGACCTACAGAGATTTCTGACACTTGAAACTTTCGGCTTTTTCATTTGTTTCTGACCTCTTTGCTTATGGGTCATGGCTGGGGGCACTCCTTTTCTGCAATCTGAGTTGCCTTCAATTACAATATGGATCTACCCATGGCACAATTATTCCACTAGTTAAGTTCATGTCTACAGAAACCAGACCAGAAAACTCTAATTCATGGACAAAGCACACTCTGTCAATTTACTTGTCAGAAAAAATTTCCAACTCTTCAGAATGCCCATCCCTGTCCCTCAAAAAAAGATCAACTTACAGTAGGCAATTAGTTTGGTAAGCTGGCACAAAGGAGTACATGACCTAACAAACACACCAGGATGTTCACAATTAGGGCAGGATGACTTCTTTGGAAGTAATATAACTGAGGGGGCTTATTTCACCTTTACATAATATAGACTAGTGGTGATAAGCTCCCAAGTCAAAACACTCGGGGTTGAAGCCTCAGTTCTGCCACTGAACCAGTGTGAACTCTGGCAGATTATTTAACCTCGCTAAGCCTCAGTTTTCCACATTAGTAAAATAGTAATATTGTATAACCAGGATTTTTTTCTTTTGTATACATGCTGTAACTTAAATATTAACATAAGAAGCAAACATGTCCCAGCCCATATAATAAGCGCAAGAGCCTTAGTCTCCATAATTAAGGCGCCACACCAGGTACAACATGGAGCTGAAGGAAAAAAGAAGAAAGCAGGTTGGGGAGGGAGTTGTGGGAGAGGCAGGAGGGACAGTGTGAGACCCAGAACCAAAGAGCACTGAGTATGCCTGGGGGCAGTGGAGGCCCCACCAAAGCTGGACACTGACGTGATCTGTCCTTCCAATCAGTCTGCTCCCTTGGGCCCGGTCACTTAGATATCACCCAGAAGCCTATATGAAAATTACTCATTTGTTGAGCCACTTCTTTCTTCATAAACAGTTTCAGGTAAACATTGGCAATTATATTCCCACAACGAAAATCAGTGGAATACAATTTTTTTTTTTGTTTTTTGAGACAGGGTCTCACTCTGTCGCCCAGGCTGGAGTACAGTCTCACTCTGTCGCCCAGGCTGGAGTACAGTGGCAGGATCATGGCTCACTGTGATCTTGACCTCCCCAGGCTCAGGCAATCCTTCCATCTCAGCCTCCCAAGTAGCTGGGGTACCACAGGTATGTGCCACCATCCTCAGTCAATTTTTTGTATTTTTTTTTTGTAGAGATGGGGTTCTGCCATGTTGTCCAGGCTGGTCTCAAACTCTTGGGCTCAAGTGATCCTTCTACCTCGGCCTCTCAAAGTGATGGGATTACAGGTGTGAGCCACTGCACCTGGCCTCAAGTACAGAGTAACAGAAGTTTACTCAACTTCATTTTACCGCCAATTGACCATTTTTCAGATGTTCTAGATTTATTTACACACAACCTCCTTGTTGAGGCTGACCTGCTAAGAAGCATCTGATCTGGAAGAGAAGAACAGTTTATAACTCATGCACAATCGCAGCACTTAGGAGAAACATACCATCTCAACAAAGTTCTCTGTAACTTACTTTACTAAACATGTAAAAAAGACAGACCTCGGCCAGGCACAGTGGCTCACGCCTATAATCCCAGCACTTTGGGAGGCCGAGGCGGGCGGATCACGAGGTCAGGAGTTTGAGACCAGCCTGGCCAACATGGTGAAACCCTGTCTCTTCTAAAAATACAAAATTAGCCAGGCATTGGGGCAGGTGCCTATAATCCCAGCTACTCAGGAGGCTGAGGCAGGAGAATCACTTGAACCCAGGAGGCGGAGGTTGCAGTGAGCCAAGATCACACCACTACACTCCAGCCTGGGAGACAGAGAAGGATTCCACCTCAAAAAAAAAAAAAAAAAAGACAAGCCTGTCTAGGCTAGTCTAGGCAGCCTAGGACTACTGCATGGCTGTAGTCCTACTACTCAGGAGGTTAAGTCAGGAGGATCCCTTGAGCCCAGGAGTTCAAAGCCAGCCTGGACAAAAACCCAGTGATTGATACACAAGAAATATAAAACAAAGGTAAATGTCATGTTAAAGAGCTAAATTAATTCATTACTTGATCGAGTGCCTACTACAGAACATGACTGCAAGAATAAGTACGGAGGAAAGAAAGAAGGAAAGAGGAAAAGGGAAAAGAAGGAAAGAAAAAGAAAAAGAAAGGAAGAAATCCTGAGTAGACACAAAACAGGGGTGCTGGGAATTAGGCACTTGGGATGGGGATTGAACCTGCGCGTTAAAGTCACAAAGGAATATCCCACTGTGATAGCAATTGTGCTGATTCAGTCTGGCTACAGCCCTCAAGTCTTCTGGCCCCTCCCCTGCCATCAGGTGCTATCACCTGCCACCTTTAAATCCACCACACAGAGAACAGCCCACTTTCTTTAAAGGGCCTCCACAAAGTGACAGCTCCCTCAGGAGTATGTCAATCCTCAATATTCACTCTTGCCTTGCCTTCAATCCCAGGACAAAGCTCATGCCCCCCTCCTCTGCTTCTAACTTAACTAATTAGGACCTCCAATAACTGCAACCATCAGGCAGGAGGATGGATGTAAACCCCACCCACGGAAGATACCTGCTGTGCTGAGATGCATCCAGTGCCAAAAAGTGAAGAGCTGGAAATGCCCGGGGCAGAGAGTTAAAGTGAGGGGCCAAACTGGCAGAAAAGCGGCACCACGGGGTGTAAAACAGGACTAGAGTACAGTCACTACCGTTTGGGTTCAGAAAATCCATAAGGTCCTGTGGTAAAAGAAACAAGCATTAAAGTCAGCAGTAAAAGTACATTTTTCTGAAAGGATACCCAAGAAACAGGACACACTGCTGCTCCAGGGAGAGAAACGGGTGGGTGGGAGCAGCGAGAGGAGGGACCCTCAGGAAACTTTTGGATTTTGAACCATATGAATCCAGGAATCAGCAAAAAAGTACGATCAAAAACTACCACTTTTTTTAAGTCTTGCTGAATTAAGCAGAAAGTTTTAAACTTTCCTCTGCACTTTCCTAATATTACAACAGTTATTTTAATATTTTTCATAATTCATCATTTCAAATACAGGCATACCTCATTTGACTGCATTTCACTCCACTGCACTTTGCAGACATTGTATTTTTTGCAGATTGAAGGTTTGTGGCAACTCTGCATCGAGTAAGTTTTCAAATAGCATGTGCTCAATTTTGTGTCTGTGTCACATTTTGGTAATTCTTGCAATATTTCAAAGTTTTTCATTATTATTATATCTGTTATGGTGATCTATGATCAGTATCTTTGATGTTACTGTTGTCACTGTTTTGGGGTGCCACAAGCTGTACCCATAGAAGATAGTGAACTTTATCAATAAATGTCTAGTTCTGACTGCTCCACCGACCAGCTGTTCCACATCTCTCTCCCTCTCCTCTGGCCTCTCCCTCAGACATAACAATATTGAAATTAGATGAATTAATAACCCTGCAGTGGCCTCTGTTTAAGTGAAAGGAAGAGTTGCACAGCTCTCATTTTAAATCAAAGCCAAAAATGATTGATTAAGCTTAGTGAGGAAGCCATGTCGAATGCCAACACAGGATACAGGCTGAAAGCTAGGCCTCTTACACCAAACAGCCACGTTATAAATGCAAAGGAAAAGTTTTTAAAGGAAGTTAATGTGCTCCTCCATCCAGTGCAGTGACCTCTGATGCTTCAAAATAAAAATAAAAATAAGTGCTACTCAGTGAATACACAAATGATAAGAAAGCAAAACAGCGTTATTGCTCATATGGAGAAAATCTTAATGCCATGGATAAAGATCAAACCAGTTACAACATTTAAGCCAAAGCCTAAATCCAGAGCAAGGCCCTCTCTTCAATTCTACAAAGGCTGAGAGAAGTGAGGAAGCTGCAGAGGAAAAGTCTGAAGTTAGCTGGGGTTGGCTCATGAGGTTTGAGAAAGAAGCTGTCTCTAGAACATAAAAGTGCAAGGTGAGGCAGCAAGTGCTGATAGAGAAGCTACAACATAGTAACATCAAAGACCAATGAAAAAAAAAAAGAGAGAGAAGCTGCAACAACTTACCCAGAACATCTAGCTAAGAGAATTGATGAAGGTGGCTATACTCAACAACCAATTTTCATGTAGATAAAACAGCCTTCTATCGGAATAAGATGGCTTCTAAGACTTTCATAGCTAGACAAGAGATGTCAATGCCTGGCTTCAAAGGACAGGCGGACTCTTTTTAGAGGCCAATGCAGCTGGTGTCTTATTTATTTATTTGACAATAAGTCTTATTTATTTATTTATTTGACAAGGTCTTTCTCTGTCACCCAGGCTGGAGTACAGTAGCATAATCATGGCTCACGGCAGCCTCAACCTCCTGGGTTCAAGCAATCCTGCCTCAGTCTCCCAAGTAGCTGGTGCCCACCACCACGCGTGGCAAATTTTTGTACTTTTTGTAGAGACAGGGTTTCACCATGTTCCCCAGGCTGGTCTGGAACTCCTCGGTTTAAGCAATCCACCCACCTTGGCCTCTGAAAGTACTGGGATTACAGGTATGAGCAACCGCAGGGCCAATGCTCACTGCTCATTGCCCATTCTGAAAATTCTAGGGCCTTTAAAAATTATGCTAAATTTACTTTGCCAGTGCTCTAGAAAAGGAACAACAAAGCCTGGATGACAATATATCTGTTTACAGCATGGTTTCCTGAGTATTTTAGGCCCACTGTTGAGACCTACTGCTCAGAAAAAAAGATTCCTTTCAAAATATTATACTCATTGACAATGCATCTGGTCACCCAAGAGTTCTGGTGGAGATGCACAAGGAGATGAATGTTGTTTTCAGGCCTGCTAACACAGTATCCATTCTGCAGCCCACAAATCAAGGGGGTATTTCAACTTTTAACTCTTATTATTTAAGAAATATATTTCATAAGGCTATAGTTGCCATAGATAGCAATTCCTCTGATGGATTTGGGCAAAATAAACTGAAAACCTTTTGGAAATGATTTACCATTCTAGATGACTTTTAAAATATTTGTGATTCATGGGAGGTGGTCAAAATAGCAACATTAACAGGCATTTGGAATAAGCTGACTCCAACCCTCATGGATGACGTTGAGGAGTTCAAGACTTCAATGGAGGGTGGAATTGCAGATGTGATAGAAATAGCAAGAAAACTAGGATTAGAAATCTCATGATAAAACTTGAAGAGATGAGGAGTTGCTTTTTATGGATAAAAAAAGAAAGTAGTTTTTTGAGATGGAATCTACGCCTGGTGAAGATGCTGTGAACACTGTTGAAATGACGACAAAGGATTTACAATATTCCATAAACTTAGCTGATAATGCAGTCGCAGGGTTTGAGAGGATTGACTCCAAATTTGAAAGAAATTCTACTGTGGGTAAAATGCTATCAAACAGCATTGCATGCTACAGAGAATTCTTTTGTGAAAGAAGAATCAATCAGTGTGGCAAACTTCAATGTTGTCTTAAGAAACTGTGGGCCACAGGCCAGGCGTGGTGGCTCCTGCCTATAATCCCAGCACTTTGGAAGGCCAAGGTGGGCAGATCACTTGAGGTCAGGAGTTCGAGACCAGCCTGGCCAACATGGTGAAACCCTGTCTCTACTAAAAATACAAAAATTAGCTGGGTATGTGGTGCACACCTCTAATCCCAGCTACTTGGCGAGAGGTTGCAGTGGGAGAATAGCTCGAACCTGGTAGACGGAGGTTGCAGTGAGCTGAGATCAGGCCACTGCACTCCCGCCTGGGTGACACAGTGAGACTCCATCTCAAAAAAAAAAAAAGAAAAGAAAAAGAAAAAGAAAGAGAGAAACTGTGGACCAGGCATGGTGGTTCACAACTCACAACACTTTGAGAAGCCAAGACAGGAGGATCACTTGAGCCCAGGAGTTTGCGACCAGCCTATGCAACATAGTTTGACCTCATCTCTACAGAAAAAAGAAAAAAATTAGCCAGGTATGGTGGCACATGCCTGTATTCCCAGCTACTCGGGAGGCTGAGCTGGGAGGATCACTTGAGCCTGGGAGGTCAAAGCTGCAGTGAGCCATGGTCTCACCACTGCACTCCAGCCTGGGTGACAGAGCAATACTCTTGTCTCAAAGAAATTGCCAGAGCCACCCCAACCCTCAGTAACTACCATCAGTCAGCAGCCATCAACATCAAGGCAAGACCCTCTACCAGCAAAAAGATTACAACTCACTGAAGGCTCAAGTGATCGTTAGCATTTTTTAGCAGTATTTTTAAATTAAGGTATATACATTTTTTAAACATAATGCTACTGCATACTTAATAAACTACAATATAGTATGACTTCTGTATGCACTGGGAAACCAAAAAACTCATGTGATTTGCTACACTTCGATATTTACTTTATCACAGTGGTCTGGAACCAAACCTGCAGTATCTTTGAGGAATGCCTGCACTAAGTACTCACACGGTCCGGGCAATTGCCCCCATCTTTGAATTGTGCATCTCAAACCATCTAAAATGGAATTATTAGAGGACTATGATCTCAGATTCAAACTATCATCTCAGCAGAGCTAAGTCTGAACTAAGCAGTCATATCGATGTATTTGGCCAAAGGTTAGATCAATTAAAGAGCACACTGTTCTAGCAAGCCGCAGTGTCTCACATCTGTAATCCCAACACTCTGGGAGGCCAAAGTGGGCAAATCAGTTGAAGTCAGGAGTTTGAGACCAGCCTGGCCAACATGGTAAAACCTCATTTCCACTAAAAATACAAAAATTAGCCAGGCGTGGTGGCATGTGCCCATAATCCCAGCTACTCGGGAGGCTGAGGCAGTAGAACCACTTGAACCCAGGAGGCAGAGGTCGTAGTGAACCCAGATCCTCCCATTGCACTCCAGCCTGGGTGACAGAGAGAGACTCTGTCTCAAAAAAAGAAAAAGAGTACACCATCCCTGCCACCACCTGTTTAATCCATAACTCAGATTGTTTAAACTGCTCTCCCCAGTCATGTGAGTGACACCTGTGAGAGTCCCACAGACCGCAGCATCTACAGGCACTCAAGAGTGGATGCAAAGCCAGCGCCAAGCAGTGCCCTTGGAGGAGCTTTGTGCACTAAAGGTGCTGTGCCCTCATTGACAACAAGCAATCACAGCTCTTAGAGTCAGGATTTACCTGTCTTACATAAGCAGTGTGAATGCATCCTACCCTTCTGTTTTCGGAACCACCCCACAGAAACTGTCAGTCATTGATGAAAGAGAAACTTTTCATCAATATAACATATTTTCCAGGGGCATTACTAAATAATGGTAAATTATCATTTTACTAATCCAGATATGTTTAAGTTGCCTGTATAATAAATAAATACTTCATTTAGAAGAAGAAAAATGGCCGGGCCTGGTGGCTCATGCCTGTAGTTCCAGCACTTTGGGAAGCCGAGGTGGGTGGATTACCTGAGGTCAGGAGTTTGAGACCAGCGTGGCCAACATGGTGAAACCCATTTCTACTAAAAATACAAAATTAGCCAGACATGGTGGTGCATGCTTGTAATCCCAGCTATACGGGAGACTGAGGCAGGAAAATCATTTGAACTCAGGAGGCGGAAGTTGCAGTGAGCCAAGATCATGCCATTGCACTCCAGCCTAGGTGACAAGATCAAAACTCTGTCTCAAAAAGAAAAAAAATGCTATGATTTTGGTGCCAAGCAACGATCTGTCCACTGGGATTTTTATCGTGAGGTTTGGTGGTGGGACTAGCCCAAAGATAACTAGGTTTAGGCCACCTGAAAAGCATAATCAACACTAGTTATATCTCCTCGTTTCCCTATAAACATCACAGAGGGCAAAGTCGATTTTCACTAAAGCAGCCATTAAATGCTATCTCGCTTACAATATGATCAAGATCATGACTTTCCATTTCAAAGTTGATAGGGTATTAATCATAAAATAAATGTACTGAAAAGGAGAAAAGCACTAAATAATGTTTCCTTACCTGTGACATATTTAAAATTTTCAGAGTGAAATTTTCTAATCCAGTAACGTTTCTCTCCTCACAGTTCACCTTTGGGGATTTCAGACTTTCAGTGTTATTGGAGTCCTCTGTCGGGGCTGCGTCCGATTCCGCCACTTCTGGCTCTGTGTAATACTCCTCTTCTCTATCCGGGAAGTGTGCTCCAGCACCATCCAAAGAGAAAAGGCTCTCTCGGAGGTTGCACCTTGAGTCCTCCTCTCCTCCAGCGCCACAGGTGCCGCCGCTAGGCTCTGAACTCACTTTGTCCTCAGCTTCCCCAGGAATCACAGACAGCATCACCATGTGATCGCCTTGAGTGTCCAGCCCCAGCACCGCATTGGCCTCTTCTGCCGCCCTGTCCTGGCCCATCGGGTCATGTAGGAGCTCCTCCTCACCCAGGTACACAGCCCCCACCTGAAGAGGGTGAGCAGGCTGCTCCTCTGACCATAAGCGACCACTTTCCTCTGCAACTAAAACATGCCAGCACATTCAGAGTCATACTTGACTTCAAAACAAATGAACCCCAAAGAATTATAGTTCCCCTCCAACATGAAATTTTCCCCTCTGGAGACAAAAAGGTCTCCTTTCGTTAAACTATCAGAGAGCTACCCACCATTTCCCAGGTTAGGAAGAAGGTCATGAGCAGGTACTATTAATAGATTAATGAATGTCAAAGAAGGCCAGGCACGGTGGCTCACGCCTGTAATCCTAGCACTTTGGGAGGTCCCAAGGCAGGCGGATCACTTGAGGTCAGGACTTCAAGACTAGCTTGGCCAACATGGGGAAACCCTGTCTCTATTAAAAATGCAAAAATTAGCTGGGCATGGTGGCAGGCACCTGTAATCCCAGCTACTAGGGAGGCTGAGGTAAGGGGATTGCTTGAACCTAGGAGGCGGAGGTTGCAGTGAGCCAAGACTGTGCCACTGCACTCCAGTCTGGGTGACAGAGAAAGACTCCGTCTCAAAAAACAAACAAACAAAATAATGACTGTCAAATAATAGACACACAGCTCTGCCCTAAACTTGCTGCTTGCCATGTGGATCATAGCCAAAAACATCCCAGTTAGATATCTAATTAGGAAAATAGAATATAAACACTTACATTTTTTGATAAGATTTTCATTTGTTTGATAGTATCCAAGAAAATGATCATAGTTTTATGCAAGATTCTACTAGAGCAAAGCATCTTTGCACACATTATAACCGTTCTGTGAGATGGGCAAGACAAGGGTTATCAAGCTCACTGAACAGGTAACTAGGCAAGGCACAGAGAGGCTCAGCACAGTGTCCGATGGCACACAGATAGTAAGCAGCAAAGCCAAGTCTGGGAGCAAAGTCTTCTGGCTGCTACTCCAGAACGAGCCGTAGGCCCCCTGCCATGATACCTCAGGGATGCTGAGCCACAATGCCTGAAGAACTGCTCAAGCTACACAGCAGCTCCTTCCTGAGGTAGCCTCTGACAACTGGACTCTGCTCTCCTGCCTGCTACCCTTGGGAGTGCTGGGAGATGGGTTTGGCAGCAGCAGGAGGAAGAAGAGAACTTTCTCCCACTTTGGAGCTAGAAGGTGGATCTTGAGCATAATGCTCAGATAAGGGAAGAGTCCCAGGCAGTCTCATACATCCATTTACCCATCTCCACTCAGCTCCGTAGCAATGCCTCCTGCCCTCCAACTCTTACCAACTCAACACCAGCTGCCAGACTTTGTGCCGGGGACCAACCAGCAGAAACCAATGAGGCCAGCAGCCCTCAGGAAACCTCACTATGTGGTTAGGAAACCACCGGCTGGGTGATGGGCTCTGCGTGCCAAAAGCATGTCACTGGAGTGTCAGTGACCAACTGACTTCAAAGTTGGGAAGGTCTGGGGGCTTCCTAAGGTATGACATTTGTATAAGATCTCAAAGAATATCCCTGTAGAGTTTTTTGTTGTTGCTGATGCATAATAGATGTACATAGTTTCAAAGCACATGTGATAATCAATATATTCATGCAATTTGTAAAGATCAGATCCATGCATTGGGGATATCCATCACCTTAAATATTTGTCTTTTCTTCATGCTAGAATCATTCAAATTCTTCTCTTCTAGCTATTCTGAAATATACAATAGGCTACTATGAGCTACAGTTACCCAACGGATCTACCTCGCACTAGGGCATAGAGCTCTGTGGATTCATTCAGAGATTCAAAAACATTATCTGGGAATTCTGCTTCTGGCCAAGATGGAATAACAAGAACCAGATTTACCTTCCCTACTGAAACAACCAAATAAATAGATAATATATATAAAACAACAGTTTCAGGAAATTAGTTATCAGGCAACAGAGGATAGTGACATCCGAGAAACAGGCGACAAATGAAGAGAACCCTACAACTGCTCCAACTTACTGCCTTGACGGCGTTCCCACTGTGGCTCAAGGAGGGGAAATACCGGCAGAGCCCAGCAGACTCTCCCAGTTGAAGCGATGGAGCTAAGAGTCCAAGGAGACCAAGAAGCAATAGTTTGCAAAACAGAATACTGCAGATGAGAGAGCTATATAGAGAGGGGACTCCAGAGATCTGTAGAGGCCCCCTGCTAAGTATACAGCAGGGTACTGGTCAGCACATGCATGTGAGTAAACTACCCAATGCCAGAGAAAGAACTATCAGAAAGGATGAGAAGGAACAGTATCCAACATTCACTCAGAGCAGGGAATGGTATCTCTTCTTACCAGCTAGACTGGAAAACTTCGTAATTCACAGGGCACTGAGTAGAGTATACAAAAGGCCCTGCCTCAGTAGTGGGACACTATTAACCCTAAAGAAAATACAGCTTGCTTGCTTAAAAGCAAAACCTGAAAGAATCAAGCTGTTCTCAAGTAACTTAATTGTACCCCAGAACAAAGCTCGAGAATATATATAGGGGGCCAGGCACGGTGGCTCACGCCTGTAGTCCCAGCAATTTGGGAGGCCAAGATGCGTGGATCACCTGAGGTCAGGAGTTTGAGACCAGCTTGACCAACATGGTGAAACTCCGTCTGACCAACATGGTGAAACCCCGTCTCTACTAAAATATTAAAAATTAGCCATGCGTGGTGGCGGGCACCTGTAATTTCAGCTACTCAGGACGCTAAGGCAGGAGAATCGCTTGAACCCAGGAGGTAGAGGTTGCAGTGAGCAGAAATCGTGCCATTGCACTCCAGCCTGGACAGCAAGAGCAAAACTCTGTCTCAGAGAAAAAAAAAAAGAATATGTATAGGGAATCTAAAATATCCAGCATTCAAGAAAGTAAAATTCATGCCTGGCATCCAATAAAAACTTATCAGACATATAAAGAAGCAGGCAAATAGGACACATAATGAGAAAAATCAATCAAGCAACACTGACCCAGAACTTGCACCCATGTCAGAATTAGCAGACGAGGATATTAAAACAATAATTATAACTGTATTACGTTCAAAAAGTAAAGTAGATATCAAGATATAAGATATTAAAAAATATAAAATCTACCTGGGAGGCAGAGGTTGCAGTGAGCCGAGATCAAGCCATCGCACTCCAGCCTGGGCAAAAGAGTGAGACCCTGTCTCAAAAAAATAACTAAATAAAAATAAAAACCATCAAACTGTACCTTTTTTTTTTTCTTTTTGAGACTGAGTCTCGCTCTGTTGTCCAGGTTGGAGTGCAGTGGCATGATCTCAGCTCACTGCAGCCTCCGCCTCCCAGGTTCAAGCAATTCTCCCACCTCAGCCTCCCAAGTAGCTAGGATTACAGGCGTGAGCCACTGCACCCGGCTAATTATTATGTATTTTTGCTAGAGACGGGATTTTGCCATGTTGGCCAGGCTGGTCTCAAACTCCTGGCCTCAAGTGATCTACCCGCCTCAGCCTCCCAAATTCTGGGATTATAGGCACGATCCACTGCGCCCATCCCAAATCATACTTTTAAAGATGTAAACTACAGTAACTACATTGTCTGAGATGAAAACTGCACTGTATGAGATTAATGGCAAATTAGACAATGCAGAAGAAAATAGTCAACTTGAAGACAGCAACAGAACCTATCCAAAATGAAACACACAGGAAAAAAAAAGAATGGAAAGAAATTAAGAGCATCAGTGGGCTGTAGGACAATTTCAAGCGGCCTAATGTACAGATAACTGGAGTACTGGCAAGAGAATAGAATGGAGGAACAGAAAAATATTTGAAGAAATCATAGCCAAAAACTTTCCAAACTTGGTAAAAACTATAAATCCACAGATCCAAGAAACTCAACAAAACCCAAACTCAATGAACTACAACAAAGCACATCACAATCAAATTGCTCAAAACCAGTTACAAAGAAAAAAATCTTAAAAGCAGCCAGAGGGGGGCAAAAAAAAACATCATGTAGCGAGGAACAAAGGACAACAACAGGTTTCTCACTGAAAACAAAGCAAGCCAGAGCGGCATCTCTGACTACAAAAACTACAATGTCTGAGATGAAAAAAAAACTGCACTGCATGAGATTAATGGCAAATTAGACATCAGAGAAGAAAAAACCTATAAATCTAGAATTCTGTATACGGAAAAAATATCTTTCAAAAACAAAGGTGGCATACGTCAGTAATCCCAGCTACTCAGGAGGCTGAGGCAGGAGAATCACTTAGATCCAGGAGACAGAGGTTGCAGTGAGCCGAGAGATTGTGCCACTGCACTCCAGCCGGGGCAACAGAGTGAGACTCCGTCTCAAAAAAAAAAAAAGAAAAAAAAAATTCTTTTGGCTGGGCACAGTGGCTCACACCTGTAATCCCAGCACTTTGGGAGACCGAGGTGGGTGGATCACTTGAGGTCAGGAGTTCCAGAACAGCCTAGCCAACATGGTGAAACCCCGTATCTACTAACAATACAAAAAAAAATTAGCCAGGCATAGTAGCGGGCGCCTGTAATCCCAACTACTTGGGAGGCTGAGTCAAGAGAATCGCTTCAACCGGTGAGGCAGAGGTTGCAGTGACCTGAGATAGTGCCACTGCACTCCAACCTCGGCTACAAGCGAGACTCCATCTCAAAAAAAAAAAAAAAGGTGAAATAAATACTTCTTCACGTCTTCAGACATACAAAAGCTGAAAGAATTCATTACCAGCAAACCCAAAAATCTTCAAGAATCTTCAATCTTCAATCTTGTCGTTTACCAGCAAACAACAAAAATCTTCAAGGAAGTCCTTCAAGCAGAAGAAAAATGTTAACAGTTGGAAATATGGATCCACATAAAGAAATAGAGAACCCAAAATGGTAACTACATGGATAAATATACACAATTCTTTCCAAAAATCTAGCTACAAAGGAGGGGAGGAAGGTAGGGTAGATTCGCTACAGGCAGGGAAGACTAAGCGAGGTTTCTATTTCGGTATTCGGAACATAGGGGCAATTTGAGGATACACAAAGCGGATGAGAAAGCAGGTAAGAAGGGGCCGGGTGCGGTGACTCACGCCAGTAATCCCAGTACTTTGGGAGGCCAAGG